AGAGACCTTACACCTTATACTGCTAAATAAAACAAAATTTGACTCAAAGCATCAGAAAAAGATGGACTTTAGCATTTTGGTTATTCACCTGGGAAGACTTGTTCTGGAGAGACAAATTAGAATTCAAGGCAGCATGAGGAAGAGCACGACACACTTCTGACAACAAAATGCAAGACTGCAGTAGCAACTACTTTCCATTTCTAATAATTTTTCTTAATTAAGCTTAAGGTTGCTTTTGTAACTTCTATATGACTTCTGTTTTGGTACAACATCTTGACAGATGCATATCTTTCAAGTCCAATGGTAATTTTAATCAATGTAAAATATGTGAGTATTGAACTAGTTTAAACACACAAAACAGTAAAACTTCAATTTTACGATCACTCACTTGTCTCCATCATACACCAAAATTTCCACAATGAAGTTTAATTTGTAGTCATTTCCTGAATTCTCAGCCATACATTGAAGATTTTAATCCTAAGTGATAGGCTTTTTGGTTAAAAACTCTCACTGCCACTACGTATGTTCAGTGAGTACAGCACGGTGGTGGAACTCTTGACTCAAGCAAATAAGAGCAAGTCCATCAAGCAGTAGCTTCACAAGCCACGCACAAGAATAAAACTGTTTCAGTGGCAGAATCCTCAAACTTCTTTCTTTTTCCAACAAGCATCCATCACCTACACAATAATGAGAAGTGGAAGCCATCGAGCTGGTTTTCAGCTGTAGTTGTATTAGAACCGGTTACTCCAAGTGTTTCACGTAAGAGTATGTCACAGCCAATAAGAGAACCCATGGCGAAGAGATACATTTGGTCATAAAATGTACCACTGTAGAAAAATGTATGTGAATATGAGGGTGTCAGAACAGGTCTATTAGCCTCTTTCAATTTTGTGTTTCACAAGTTGTGATGTCTCCTTCAGCAGAACCTTCACAAACACAGGAATTGTGTTGTGACACAATCGCTGATCACAAAGTGGGTTCTTGGATCCATTTCACAACAATGCAGCTGCAATTACAATCAATTACTTTTCTTTACAGCATCAGAAAATACTCCTACAGCACCACTGAAAATATCTGTCCTTTCAGCTTTCCATTTCAATCTTTGAGCTTATCTCTCCGTCACACACAATCACTATGCAGCATTGAACATGCTACTGTGTGCCTGCTGTGCCGCACCACTCATAGGAACACAAGGATTCTTCTGTCTCTTGCCGTCTACAGTATTCCACCACTTACCCACTGATTCTACTGGCTTGAAAACAGTTTCACTACCTCACGAACACTGCCTCCCCAACGCACTGTCCACTCTGACACTCCTAACACTTCTTATAACGTACTATACCAATCCTCACTGGATCACGACCACATCAACACGACACTATATCACACTACCAAACCAACACTGACCCTCGTTGCATAAAGGGTGCAAAACACACTATATTCTTCAAGAAGGAACCCATTCTAACACCAACCATTCTTACTAGAAAGTATGAGCAATTACATGCATGCCCGACTGTTCAGCCATAGCGTAAACATGAGCACGGAATGTGGGAGGCAGTGAGAGGTATGGGTGACAATATAATTGACATTGATTTCACAACTATCCCTGATGACAGACTCTGAGATTGCCTCCACAATATTGGAATTTTAAAATAAATGTCAGTACCCTTCATTATTTAATCCCAGCACACACACAAACAAAAAAATCCAGTCTAAGATATAAGGTCTCTTTTACTGACTTCAAAATATATGCCAAAATTTGCTGCTTTGTTTGGAACCTAAGTTCATCTGTTAAGACATAAACGCAAGCAAAACTAAGTTCAAGTGTTTGTGCCAGCCAACAACAAAACAGTCAGTCTCTGAACACTTACTCTCCACACCCTGTTCCCTAAGACTTCTCATTTTCAAAGGCCAAAAAAATATTCAAAAGATTCAGCAAAATGTGCAGGAGGTTCATAACAACATTACAAACCAGAAGCTTCAGACATGCTTCCAAGGATGACAAAACCACTGGATCCAAAGCATTAACTCCCAAGGGAAAGAACTTTAAAGGTAACATGAACATAACAAATTTTGACCATTTACATACATTTTTGTTTTAAATACATTCTCCTAACTCTTTGATACCATCTCATACATTTAGTTATGTTCAAATTCCTAATTTTTACCTTCTTTCTGTATATGTAAGAAAACTTTGTTCTGGCTAAATAGTTTTAACATACTTTAATGTTGTTGGCACACACTAACATGATTGAAAGAAATTAACCAGATTCTTAATGGAATATTTTTGCTACAATTTAACATAAAACTCAAATATGAACCAAGAACCTAAATATAACTAAGAATATTTAATTCATACACATCAAAATATATTGCAAAAACAAAGCAAATAGATTTTTCTGTAGCAAAAGCAAACTGCGATATACATTCATAAAAACTGAAACCTAGCCATTTTATGTACATTGTGCACTGATTCCTAGACAATTTGGATATCCACCCCACTATTAAGTTACTGGATATAAATACTTATTTCTTTGATTTCTAATTAAAAATACAAAGTAATAAACCAACATATATCCATAGTGCACAAGTTCTGGAGAATGTTCTGCTTTGCCCATTGTCATCTTCTGCACACAACAACTTTAATTGAATCACTAAGTGTGGTCTTTTGTGGACATCACGTTGTGCACCTCCAGAGAATAATGGTGGATGTATGGTCCTGGTAGCAATGGCTGGGTCTTGATCTGACAATGATTTTGAATTCTAATTGGAAATTTAATGGCACACGTCAATGAATTTTGAGAACATGAGCCAGAGGGTGTAAAATAAATTTTAAAACAGCTGCCTATGCAACACATACGATATGAGTATATCTGGATGTTTTGAACCACTGTAAGGTGGTATTTTTAGGGGCAAATAACTAGAGATCAGATAATATATACAATATGACTATACACAGAGTTCATGTCTCTGTAACGAAGCAGACATGGCACATCAGGAAACAAAAAAGCAAGGAAAGTTTCGCAACAAACGCTTTAAGACTGATAAATAACAGGCACATGGCTGGGTAAACTGAAAGAAAACTAATGTCAGAGTTGACATCTGCAATAGGTGCACTACATTTGACAACTTTACTGGAAATCCGGACAATTCATTTTACTATAAACACATACTAAATATACAAATTAAGATCTAATAATTTCAAATTGAAGATGATATAAAAGCTTGTTACTTATGAAGTTAGTTATAAAAAATCATGAAGAAATGCTTTACAAGCCAGTGGAAAAATTTGTCTCAAAACAAAAGAATTTAAAAAAATTCATGTCAACTCAGCACAATAGCTAGCACGGCCATCTTGCATTCAAATTAAATTTGGCAAGTTTTTGTCCCATAATAGTAAGCTATAATTCCAAAAATTTACTTTATCATGAAAATACTTTCCTTTACATTTTTAATGTTCCTTGTTTTAAGCCACCAAACACTTGAAAGTTTGGCCCTTATCAAGACAGGAAGCCTCTTCTTCGGACAATGTAAAACTTCTAATGGGGCTTCAATTTGGTATTTCAGTATTGGCATTCTGGGTCACAGGTTTTCTAACTTCTGACCTTAAATGTATTGCCATACTTCCCCACAACATTTTGTGGCCTTGAAGCACGTTTATGGAGATATTTTTCATCTGTAAGAACTGCAGTTACCGAGATTCAAACTCGGTGCACAACATGGTTGATCCAGACATGCAGTTCATTCAGGTACAGGTTATGTTGCAATTCATTCATTAGTGAGCACTGCAGTGGTTTAAATCAGAAAAACAGTATTTCAAGTGTTGAAGGGCTATTTTAAACTGAATTCATGCTTGGAAAAATATTTAATGATAAGTTACACTGACCTGAAATGTGTTGTTCTGCAAATCAATGGAAGTGTCACTGGCTGTTGCAGCAATTTCAGTGAAATATGCTGTAAATAGAAATTATGTCAACAGAGATCACTGAGTGGAAATTAAAAAAACAAGAGAACTCTGAAAGAACTAGTTAATTATGAAAATCAACCAACCAGACTTCAGGAAGTTAGTCTCAAGCTATAATCTGTTCTTTTGCAAAAATTGCACTGGCTGTTGTGAGCAAAATCAAATGAATTTATATTACACATACCAACTTCAAATGCTAAAGACCTTAAATTTTTTACAATAATGCTGTCATAATCCTAGTGTAAAGTCATAATGCCAATCTGAAGAAATATTCTAGGCATGTTATACTGGTTAATAGAAAAAGTATTCAGTTTTCAGAAAGGGCAACAAATCTGTGACAAATATAGGAAGAATGTCTCAATTTTGACAAAAGCAGCATGCCTTCAGCCTAAAATTGATACAAATGCAATTCATATTTAATACTGACCTGAGGTATGACGCTCGCTGCTTAAACGAACTTGTGCCAATAGAAGAGACTGCATTCCATCAAAACACCGTTGTAGGCGAAGGATCCAAAACAAAAATCCGAGTAAAGAAAGCTGCAAAATGAAAAGTCTCTATTCAATGCTCATCGGTTACAGTCTTTCTTCAAATTGCGTAAATTATTCAACTGGGCAGTTCCTACTTTCTGTCCTTAGCAGTATATCGAACAATAATGCATTAGTCGCACCTAAAATAATGCAGAATGAACCAAGGAAGCAAACAAGCAGAGCCCAACATTTTCTCTGCAGAAGAATATTTATGTATCTTACCTCATGTTCATTTCACCACAGCTGTGAATTTATTTCAGAGCAAGTTATGAAGCTTCCTTTGTAATAAAGTGGATCATATATTTTCCATTTCAAGCCAAAGCTCGTACGATATTTAACAATTGACTCCATACTGCAAAAAAACACAGCCTTCCTTCATTACAGAGACAACTGATTGACACTGTTCGAAGAAAAAATCACTGTGTATACTGAGAATCATATGAAACACATAAATACAAAATAAAGAGTTACCAATTGTTATAGCAAGTTGTACACATTGTTACCACAGTATTTCACAGGGCTAAAAATTTAATATATTTCTGGTGATGCTGCCACTCAGTTCAAAAAGAGGAAAAGTTTCATTAACCTGAACTGTGGAAAAGACAATTCTGGTTTCAAATATGGGGGGGGGGGGGGAGAAACTTAAAGTGTAATTCAATCAACAGAATTAAGATGGCTTCTTATTCAACCAGAAATGTTGCTATAAAGCTGTCTTGTGAAAAAATGTTTCTAAAGTCCTTACTTGTAAGAGTGATGACATCATTGAAGCATTAATTACCCCACAACATGGTGCAGCTGAAGGACCTAATCCAATCAGACAGCAAACTGGAATGAATCTCTTAATCAGTAAAGCTGCAGATCCTGGAAACCATAAGAGTCCTCTAAGATATGTTGTTTCCAGGATGGCTGAATGCAAATAAGTCTTCTTGGGTGATCAGCACTGTGAGAATGAAGTTGTGATCCAATCAGCAGAGTGGAGTAATTTAGGGACTGCTAGCTACTTTGCAGTTCAGATCTTTTTGTCTTCCCTTACGCTATCTAAAAACAACGATTAAAATGTACAAAAGAACAATTATCTTATACAGTGTGTCCGTAAAATAATGGTGGGGTAACAAACAGTCATAGTTTTGGGAAAAAAGCACGATATAGACATAAAATAAAGAGAACCTCTCCAAGAATCTTACCTGTTCAGTAGATTTTGATATGCGCTACTTTAGTTGCCCTGCAGACATCAAGCTCTTGCCATACAAAACCGAGAACATCCGGTGTGATAGATGAAACATCTTCAGCGATCCGTTCTTTCAAATGGTCCAAATTTATTATTTGGACAGAGAACACTTGTTGCTTCACATAACCCCACAAATAAAAATCCATAGGGGGTAAGATCTGGAAAGCGTGGAGGCCAGGCTATCCACCCTCCTAGTCCGACCCATCGCTGAGGAAATGCCTAACTGGACAATGAAATTCTGTGTTTATTATATGCAATGCACGCAAATACAAAAATGCCACAAACATTACAATAAAATTTACACCAACACTAAATACCTGTTTTGTCATACCTGTGCCTCATATTTGTATTAGACAAATGCTCATATTTCTTATCAATCTCTATTGTCCAAAAGCTTGCAGTAGGTCTCATCACTGGATATGTATTGTTGATTATCATGGTTTTCCAATATGTGATCTGTACGGAGGAATCATTCCAGGACATCTCAAGCTACAATAAAACACACAATAATTTTCCAACATGGAAACAACATTCATACATTAAATTTGGAGTGGTATGGGATGCCTAAGTATAGGTAGTGCAAGTAGTGGTGGTACCTAAATGCGCGATGTGTAAGCTGAGAGAGGGGAGTTCAGTTGTAGTTGGGGTCGCACAGCCTCAGCTGAGGTGACACACTGATCTAAACACAGCTAGAGCTACAAACCTACTGAAGCTCCCACAACTCACTCCGTGGATTTGACTACGTAACTTCAACTGCTATCCAGAACTAAAACCTCAAATAGATGTTTATAGCATGGTATGGCCAAGATGTTTACTGCAACCATGACTAGCTGATCATAACAGTTAGTGTGCTTAGCAGTTCACCCATATCTGTACTAGAATTCTGTAGTGAACACTGTTTGCTTTCATTTGGCAACATAATAGCCTGGAAGCTCAATATACCTACCAGAATTGATACATGAACTTCAGTTTTGTATGTATGTATAAAATATAAATTGGTTGTGATGAAACAGGCTTGTCTACATATTGCTTGGGTGGCATGGTACAACACACATAAGTCAACTTCTTATTAAGTAGGATTTTGGGTTTTCAAGGAAGGTCTTAAAATAGCCGTCTTCTAGGTTGCAACACCATACAATCTAGTAGAATTTTACTGACTTTTCCATCATGAGGGTGTTAAGCCTTTGCTTGACCCCTCTCATGTCCTGCTGGCCAGGCTGTAGCGCACTCCTTGCTCCTACTGGTTCCCAGGCTCTCACCCAATCATGAATCTGTTCCCCACAGGCCAGGGATGCAACTTAACTTGTCAGTGTCATATTTCTCAAACTGATTCCATGTGTGGGGCTTATTCATCACCCTGATGATGGAGGCAGCAAAGACCTATGAAAGGTCAGTAAACTACTACCTGACTAGACAGCAATCAGCTTTACCTCTTATTGCAGGGATGCTCAAATTGTTCAGTTTATATTCTTGCTAAAGTGTCCAAAAATGACAATAACTGGCAAAAAAAGATTTACCATTTTTATGGCATTCTAAAACTGATTTTAGCATATACATTTATTTTACTCCAAGTCTTGCCCTCCTAGTTTACCCATCACCACAAATTTAATGTTATAATATTAATATATACGTTGATAACAGTACTTAAATATATTTTCTGAGAAAACTTGATAAGGTGTCTTCACATTTAGTACTACTACTCACATATACTGCGACAAGCATAAAGCGTTTGATGTCCTTCACGTAGGATTTAAGGTTACATATGTAACCACCCTCTGGGTACCCAATCAACTTAAATTATGGTAATTTGCTTTTAAAAAACTATTCAGTGCCCTATAATAAAAAATTATAGGCCTTAAATAACACGCCCGTATTCAACCACAGGTCACAATCGACATTATCTCTGAAGGAAAATGCATTTGACAAACCATGAAGGGCAGGCCATATGAATACCGACATGTCGGTTCTTCTAGCTAAAATAATAATTGTTCCGCAAATGCCTTTCCAACCGTACTGTTATTTGTGTAAAAACATGGGAAAACACTATACGCCCAATCATGACCATTAGTATCAGAAATAATCAGACACACGGCAAAGCCAAAACTACATATGTACAATACCAGCTAAAATACGTCAAACCCTATCAATATACCTACAAAATGTACATTGAGAAAAACAGATGAAAAAGAAATACGAATAAATCCTAATTAGAATACGCACTTACCACTTAGTTCAAATGGCCATTTTGACGAACCACGCCATTACTTCACAAGACAACGTATTACGTAATGACGTGACACTGTCAACCAATAACGAGTTGGTGGATCAATCCACTGCGCTTGCGCAGCATAGGGTTGCTTGAAATACCATTCGGTGCAGAATGTGAGGCTACATTTTTAAGTAATACATACTAAAACACCAAGAAACTCAAATTTTTCGCGACCTTTTCTCTTTACAATTAACAAACAATGTAATGGCTGAAACAACACACCACTGCCTCAAATTTCATGAGCATAACTGGGCCATGTTAAACATAATTCAAATGGCGTATCACCTGCAATGAAACATCAAACTTTTCTTCCAGTTTCAATCTCACGGACATGGAAGAAAAATACACTCTACTTTTCACAACAGAACCAATTACTTACACTCTAATCACTTATTCACCCCAAACACAATCCACCATTTTGGGAACACTTCCTCAACCAATTATATTGCGTCATTGGATACCCGATAAAATGCCATGGGTCATGGCTTCTGTCTAAGGCGACCCATAACAGCAAAGATAATCTTCAAAATCATGTCAAAACCAATCACCAATCCAATCATAAAAAAATAAACCAAATTTATACCACAGGTTATGGGGAAAATATTATTCATACATTTTGCAATCAATTTCCCTCATTCAAAGTCACATGAAATGTGAATAGAAGAAATATTCATGGAACTGAATTATAAAATTTGAAGAAACTAACCTTAAACTTATGGGTTTTATTATACAACAGTTTGTCTACTAAAATAAGTTAAAATTAATTTTATAAAAAATCTGGATGTGTAACATTGAAATCCTACAGCAGTAAGAAAATTTCTGTCTTCTGGGTTGTTGTGCCATGTAGTATGGTAGATGTTTACCAACATTTCAGGTCATACTGCCTCTAAAACGTTGGTAAACATCTACCATACCACACGGCGCAAAAACCCAGAAGACCGAAATCTTAAATCTCTATTCTGACTGCTCTTAAAATGCTGCATCACGTCCGCTTTGGATCTTTGCTTCAGGGCTGGGTTCTCAACCTACAGTCTGTTGTATGACCAGGGTACATTTTGTATATGAATTATTCTACTTGATGAGAAATAATTATGTTATAAGAAAACATATACTGATTTGGTCATTGGTACTTGGCAATAATCGTTCACCTTAATGATGAATGGTCCCCTTCTACCAAGTGCCAACAGCCTCTTCGGAGGGTGGATGAGTGGGTGGAGGTTCAGACACCCTCATGCCCTTGGGGTGAGACATCACCCCTAAAGGCAGATGAACCCGGATGGGTCAACGGCATAGGATGCGGAAGGCAAGGGGAATCCACCGCATTAAAGATCCTCAGGATTTCCCAAGCATCAGCAGCTGCTGCCAACCAATCCTAGGATTGATTACAAAAGAAGACTTGGCAATAATCGTTCACCTTAATGACAAACATCAAATCAAGAAATAGGCCACATATCACTGCCAAACACCTGGACAGATGCATTCAAACCACAATATAGTAAATCAGGGTCATTGGCATGGACCATAAGCTGAGGCGTCCAATTCAAATTGCTACAGGTTTTCTTGCACCCGTTTAACTAAATATTCCACAGCTCTAAAGTAGGGACTTCTAACCTTACCCATACTGCAGCTACAATCACTCTTATGGACTTAGCAGCTGCAAGGTTATAAATTTAGACATTTTATTGAAACCTTGTAGCAATTTATTAAAAAAGATGGTAATTAGACCCAACTTTGCAAACAGGTTAACATATTACTCAACTTTGTTTTACAAAATCAGTCATTATTGAGACATTAGACACTGCTTTTGCTCGAGTAATCTTGCAATATCTGGTTTAGTACATAAGAAAACACAGGGACTCTCCCTTAAAAGTTCTCCATCTTAAACCTCCTTTTTGCCCACATTATAAGGACAGAAACTGACCTGAAGTAGATCATGCTAGGAGCCAGTGTCAGGGTTTTGAGTCAACTAAGATGAACCACAGAGTTCTTTAACAATAAATTACTTGAAGGGGTGAAGTAATGGGGAAGACACTACATTAGAGGAATTGTGTAGGTGTCTTAAATGATGGGTCATATAACAAATACCATATTATGAAAAATATTAACAAAATGAGTGCACTACATCACAATGCTTTATAAAAAAACATGAAGTTGTGAACATCAGTGTCAAATGAATGCAGCAGCTGACACAGTATCACAAAAGAAATTCCTTATAATTGCTATTAATTATACCAAAACCTCAGCATTCTCTCATCATCAGCTGTATCCAAGCCACAGCAGTTTAAAACACAAAGAAACCACTCCTTTACCTACTGGCATACATCACATACACTGCCCATGACAACACTCTTCAAATATAAGCACCAAGCAGGTTTTCATTAAATTTAAAGATATATCACATAAATGTCAAACATTAATCTACCAGCACATTCAGTACTGTTTTAGTATTTTACACCTACATTCACAATAAGTTAGTTACACTGTGTATATATATGGCATGTATTCTCCTTAACAAGTAATTTGATAGTCTTCAATATACTATTCATAGAAAACTAAATGTTTTCACATACACTATATATCATTTTAAATTATTCAGTTATCTCTGTTGAAAAAGGTAAAAATACAATTTCATAAGGCAAGGAATATTAATCAACAGTAAATCCATTATGAATTACGTTATCATAATCTAGAGAAATACACAAGTATGAAAAGGTCATGCAAAATACCGAAGCACTAATTCATTCTTTTTATCTCCAGGTGCGATGTTTTCTGCTTTATTGATATAAAGTAGCAACAATTAAATACATGGTATACTGCAGGTAACTTGCAGAATCTCAAGCACCACTGTTTTTAAAAAAATGCAGACTGTTATGACAGAAACACCAAGACTCCAGCTGAACTGTGTCTACTGTATATCGGAACTATTTAATGACAAAATACTTCAAAATACTGTACTGAAAGTCTAGAATTACACTTTGTGCAACTACCAATATCTCTCTTATTTTAAAAGAAAATGTACATAATACTACTACCAAGAGTTACTTGAGAGCAGGGCATTATTGTCAAGATTGGTAGTACTGTAAACTTCAATTTCAAACTATCTGTTCAAAGCACATCTTTGAGGTTCTATTTACTCACAGCATAAAGTTAAAATGCAATGTCTGAAGCAGAGTTAAGTACTGAGATATGATTAGGAACTTTTGAGCAATTTACTGCAAGAAAATGACCAACCTCAATGCCAAACACATATTATGAAAAGGAAGTTTCAGTGGCATTGTTGCTATGGGGAGCAAGTGGAACACTGAGCTCCACGTCTGGATCCGGCTACATTTTTTTCTTCTAACCATTTTTGCACAATGTACACATCTTGTCTGAAAAAATTCTCATCATCCTGTACTGTTCATTAGCTTTGTAATAACTGAATATGAAGACCAATGTTTTATGGAACATCAGTACGAATGCATATACAAAATGAGGGTACTCTAACCTGAAGTGATACTTTTACTCCCCTGAACGGTTTGCGAAAGAGAGCCCTATGGAAAAACATTTCACATGTACAGACGGTGGAGAAAGGGGCAAAGTTGTCCCCAAGATTATGAACGGGCCCATAAAGATGAATCAGGCAGTCATGGCAGAGCTTCACATCTTTAATGTTGGACTAGCTGCCAGAGAATGTTTCAAGAGAATAAACTATAAACTAAACTTCTGAACAGCCAAGAGAGAGAACATGACAGTTGATGAAGGTGAGGGTGTATGAAACTGCTACTTTAGAAAGCTAAGCCACCAATGACAATATTACCAATATGAACATAACCTCAAGTAAACTTTTGATTAGTCCAGTTCAGTTGGCAACAAATTAAATGCTTTTCAATATTTAATATTTGATTCTTATAGCACAATCTCCTGGAACAATCATGACCCACAAGACAACCAGAATGTCCCTTCATGACCTGAAAGATTATCACTAAAACATGGATCTCAGTTCTTTGGAATTCTTATATGAACCATCAAATTGCACTTAGGTATCTATTCAGAACTACAGTTAAACTTTTTCAATTCCTAAATGAATAATTCAATATTTTCAAAATTTGTTTTTCTTTTTTATTTACATCTTGGAACATAGTGATATAGTAAGGCCTACGAAGTAAATCATGTTAAAAAAACCACTATATGACATTTACTCACATGCAAGGCTTTGTGCATAACTGTGTCTGCCTGGCAAGTTACTGGCACCAGAATTTCAAAGAACATGGCAATAAACAACACATGAAAACATGGAAGACAAAACACGAATCATTCAAGTTTTCTCTTTCGGTTCGACCTTAAGAAGTAGAAGGATAAAACACTAAACCTTCGATCTACATCTACCTACTGGACTTGGAAAAACAACTCTGATGCTAACATATAAATTCCCATTCAAACTAATGATGTTATCCAGAAATATTACAACGTGAACGATCTGTAAAAATACAACAGGAAATTACAGACAATGCAACCAAGAGAGAAATATGCAGGGATAAAAAAATCATATCAATTAAATGTAAGTAAACCAATACCGAGCACACAACAGTCTTATCTCCACATCTGTGTCAACAGCTCGCAGCTGAGTAAATGTGTCATATCACACACTCAGTCCTTCCAATCCTTCTTGATCTCGAAGCTCCATTCCCACTTGAGATGTTCGTGTCTGTCATCATCAGTGAACAACGACTGTACTGCGTAGCTCCCACGTGCCATTATTCCTGCAGGAGCATCCTCTGCAGGCGTAAAAAAAAAGGTAACTGCCCACCATGTGAGACATCTTGTCCACTAGAAACCAACAATTTGTTGACACCTATCTTTTGTGCTTGCAGACTAATATTCACAACTTGTATGGTAATAATATACAGACGTAGGCAACACAAGAAAGAACAGCAGCAACAGACATTAGAATATTTTAAGACCGTAAGCAGGATAAAGTTGGTTAGACACAAAAAGAAATACTGACACAAAGAAACGAAGGACCACGTAGACAGAGGATGAGCAGAAAACTTGCACATGGCCAAAAATAGCATACAATTATAGGATTAAATCAAGACCAATGAAATGCTGAAAAGAGGATTATGGCCTGTGCAGCCACTGAGAAGAAGAAAATGTACTTCACATGGATTTAAAGGTGAGCAAAACATAAATGCCACTTTCAAGTATGACCAGAATGTCTGCCATCTTCCTTTGCCACTAAGTTAGAAATATCCAATTACAATTAAACCAAATGTATGTTTCCCAACTTAAGAGTTACATAATTTCTATTCTTATATATGAAATTGTTAACACGAAAATAAATCAAGTGTCATGGGGTGTGGTACCTATAGGAGATGAAAAATTTGCATGTTTTAGACACCACTCTGAAGATACTAGTCACAAAACACCCAATACCAAAGTCCATGGACAAAAAAGAAGATCACAAAAATTTAAAAACATATGAAACTGACCCATATTCCACACTTGCAATAGTAAGATTATGATAGAGCCAGGTTTTGCAATATGTTATTAAAGGAAAAGAAGTGATACATGGAAAGAAAATAAGAGATCAATTTTAAAATGAAATGGCTGATCAAATTCAGTAATACTTCTGACATGCAACCATCAGCCACCCTTACAAATGACAGCAGATCCAATATACATTTTTTAAAAGCACTCTTTGCTGCAGTGCATATGTCACTGACCTTAACAATAACTGACTACTGATAAAAACAGCACTATAAGAATATTTTCCTCTGTATTCTGGTTATTAAATGCATTATAATACATTTAGAATAAAATTTCATTTTAATAACATCTATATTTCTCTGAGTTGCTTTTGATTCACCTTAATTCAAACTACAAGTTGCACACTGACCAAATACAAGGCAAAACTAAATTCACTAAATAAATTCTAAGGGTTGAACTCCAATACAAAATATCAAAATCTGTCCAGCAATTCACCTCATGAACAATGCGCAAAGAATGGATAAAAGTGACATGAATTGTAATTAAGCAATCAATGTTTATTGGACTACAACCCAGAAGACAACCATCAGTCTCACCACCATTAAAACCTCAAATCCAAGATGTAACTTAATAATTCTTGGGCACAGGGACCATTAATCAAGGTAACAAAAATCCATGTGACACGCCTATGTTCCAGTCTTGAAATTTCTTTCTTTATGCAGATTCTGAATCAACTCACTACCTAAATGTATTCTGGCATGTCTTACAAGTGGTATGAATACTATGAAATGCCAAGCAGTTACTTATTTGCCATTCTCCAATAATAATCATATCATTAAAGTAATTTGAATATGGCTATTGTTCGTATCATTTATCTTCAAGTATCACAGAAAAGGGCAGGTAAGGAAATGCTCTGCAGTTGCTCAACTGAGCACTATTTTGGAAATGAATGTCTCTGTTGTACACACAGTATGAATGATATGCACATGGAACAACAGAAACACCACCACAACGCAGCATATTTTTTGACCAATGAGCACCTGATGTGCCATCAAGTTGCATAGTAATGCAACCCAATCCACTCTACAGAATGCAGATGCCGAGTAAACTGATGTGGACAATTCCACCATATAAAATGTGCCATTTTCTTAACTATAACTGAGTTCACAGCAAATTTTAAGCTGCTGGTATAACCTCTAGCCATTATTCATGCACAGAAAACAAGGACACATTTCTATTGTAATTTCTTGATATACTTAATTGTAATCCAAGTCTCTAACATAAAATATTTCATTTGGAAAAACCATTTTAAATCTACTTCAAGTTAGTTCAGTAGCAAGATAATGGTGAAGACCTAACCAATTGAATTTTGTATAGTCAGTTTGAATGTGACAAGATTGGAAGGTTACGCTACTGCCAAACTTATGATAAGACAGAGAAAAAAGAAAACTGCACAGCTACAAGGCTCAGATTAATGTAGGTAGAAAAGAAACCATGTGGAGCTACATAATAATAACAATAACAAAAACAATAATAATAATGAGTTTTCACTATTAACAATAGAGAAAAAAATGACAGAAACATGTTAAGGTTACAACAGTGTGATATCAGACTCATGCCAAAAAACTGAATAGAATTTATAAATGAGGCATGTGGTTTTCAATGTGAGTGCAACTATTAATACATCTTAATGCATGAACCCTGTCTCTCCAAGAGTAAAACACATTACAAAAAGGGCCACTCATACTCACCTACTGTTCCTAAATCCCCACGATTGCATAGAACAAAACAATGCACAATAGAACCTCAATTCACTTTAGAAGTCCTAAAGCAACATGCTAACATTCAATTTACATTTAACGCAAAGTCACCAATTTAGAAGTGTAAGTAAACCTGAAGAAACAACTGTTTAAATATAAAACAATAAAGTACAAGGACAGCAAAACACACACTTCTCTGTTAATGGCTTTCCTCTGCATAACAGATTTGCCAGAATAAAAAATCAACATCAACTCCTATTTCACAGCATGGAACAACTCTGTTGCTTCATTCTTTTATTATTTAGCAATGCTTTTTCAACTACATAGGTTACATAGTGTTGACTGCTAGCATTACTGTGAATAACTTGGAAGGAATGTAAAAGGAAGTGGCTGTGGTCTAGCTTAAACTAATATAACAAGATTTGCCTCTGAACTGAGATTAAGATTGAAACCTGCTTCTCTTTTAAGCTATGTTCCCAAACTGAAATTAGAAGCCTCTTTGAAATAATAAATATGAATGTTTCATTCAATTTCAAATCCTGAATAAAAAAAAACACCTTTCCACATTCACTATCCAACACAGGAGCACAGCTCAAAGGAAATATTAGAAGAGATAATGAACATGGGTCCTACCTGGCACCCCCAACCGGTATGTCTTCTGAACATATTTCAGCCCATGTACAATTTCTCTCTGTACAATGAAGTCGATCCTAATGCGGTATGAAACTCCTTCCTTGATGACAAATACCTGCAAAAACATAACAGAGTTTTTTTGCCACTAACAATACCTGGAGTACTTTTATAAACTGCACATAGCAGAACCTCCTATACAATGAGCATTCAAGGAATGTGTCTTTACAAAAGGTTTCATGCCAGAACTTGGAAATTCAGTCTCACATTATATGTACTTATTGTGAAAGACAGTGGCCTATCAACAATTTGTCCATAAAATGCTTCATTATTCCTAAATAACACATATAACAAAGAGCTCTTAAAATTATTCCCTTTACCTGTTTCTTCAGCTGTGAAATATCACCTGTCAGGTCAAGTTCAACGTCAGGTCTCTCCGGAACACACAATGCCAACTTCTTCACAATCACCTTGCGAGGATCATTTGGTTCTGCAAACAAAAAGTGAAACCAGCCAACGGATTAGCTCGAGCAAGTAGTACAATTTATGTAACCTAATATTTACCTTAAATACTAACTCTATACTCAGTCTATTCTGTTGGGATCTGCGGCATATCTTGCATAAGCACAGACATGATTCCTACATAGAATAACAGCCTTTACCAGATACTTACCAACAATGACAGTTCCAGTTTTGGCATCACCAAGAAGCTTTTCTTTGTATTTTCGCAAGCTTTCATCTTCTTTATCTGTTTCGAGAATTTCTTTAATTGTTTTCTCCGGTGGTGGTCTGTAAATAGATTCATTCTCGTCTTCTGGCGTGTTAATGTGGAGATCCTCGATACCTTCTGCAGTCGTGTCTGCCATTACTGCCTGAAATATGACGCCTTCATTTTACATGTACAGACAAAAGATATCCAATTATCTATAAGAGTTCTATATTTCTCAATGCTATATCTGGCGAAACAATCCTCAAGCTCCAGTGGTCTATGCCAACTGATATGGAAAGTCCGGAAAGGCTTTTTCTACGGGAGGAAACAGATCGACTATATATATATATATATATTGTCGACAAAACCGTTTTTAAACCATGATATTACGAACGTCTTACTTAAACATCAAATATGAATTCAAATACCAATTTACCTAATACAATATAAAATGCTGATACAATTTATAACGAAAAGAAACACTATTAGCAGATAAGAAACTCCACCTTCCTCCACGGTAATCCGGAAACACAATTTCACCGCTCTCGATAGATCGATACATTGTCAAATTTATTTTTATTTAACAAAAAATGTTAAATAAAACACTGAGTGAACACAGTAATAATGCATATTTAATATTAAAACTAATATGTACATATAGCAGGTTTAATGTACTATAGGTATTACATTCTGCACAAAGTTAATATGGTACACTAACGCACTCTCACGGATTTATGGATTACTAATCTGCAAATATTTCACATGCCAAATTTAAATTTAATTATCAACATGCGACAAAAACATGACCCTATTACCGCCACGTCACCACTAAAACCACCACATTTAATGTTTTCCATATATCATAACATGATGCAAATTTCGGTCCAAAATATCCATCTACATATGGAGGTTGAAATATCAGTCACATCCAAGAGAAAATTAAATACACATCAATCTGTAAAATTATATTTGCGCTGGTATTTTATTGGTCCTAAGTGCTGGTACTCCTATTATGATATGTTACACATCTTTAATTGTAGTATGAAGAATTTATGGAATCTAAACAAATCCTATTCTGTTCAAAGTAACAACCAAAACATGCTCTACTGCAGCAAGCAGAAACAACACTATGCACTACAAAACCCAGCTGTCATTAAACAGGATAAGAATGAAAGGAGAACTTGAAATCTATGCAGAACACCTCTGTTGGCAATTTGCAAACTTTCACACTAGGCTTCCTTTATATATAATGCAGAATACCTCTGAAACTGGGGTATTGCGCAGTAAAAGGGCAAAAGCAAAAGTAAAGGGAAGATTACACAGTAAAAGGAAAGATAAAATGGGCAAAGTAGGACCAGAATGCCTTATCTAATATCTGAGATGTCCTTGCACAGCAATGAGGCAACAAAGACCTCCAAAGCGTTGGTAAACTTCTACCAGACTACATAGTGCAACAACCCTGAAGACAGCCATTTTCAGACTGACTGCCTTGAAAAACTCAACTCCTACATTGTTGTCTTTTCTATTCTTAGAGCGTGTGCAATCAATGACCTGTAGGTTGCAATTTTTAAGTTTTTAAACAGCCTCATTCATTTTATTATAATAAACATTTTCTGACTACATCTCCTCTACAGCTCTGAAAACAATATCGCTCAGCTTTATAGAAAAATGAGTTGATTTACATGTTTGATCAGAAATACCTATATTTGTAAGGAACTACCTTTCAATTTCATAACTGAGAAGTAGAATTAAAAACAAATATTTACAATGTGAAATTGCCTTGTGTAACACCAATGTGGATATTACTGACATGATGAAAGAGAAGAAGTATAGCAAATCACAGTTATTGAAATCAGTTTGATACCTGACTCTCAAAGAGTTAATTTAATGGAATAAAAATATCAATTAGAAATAAGATAACCATAATGCAATATTATGCAAATTTGTTAAACTTGCAACATAACAGTTTTATTTACATATAAATTAAAATGCAGATAAAACTGCTCCATATTTTCACTTGCTTTAGAATATGTATCCTTCTGTTTTAAAAGTACAGCAGAAATATGTATGATTTTGTTATTCATTCAATGGTTTCTAACTTTAAATTCAATTGTTTCCTTTTCTATAAAACATTTAAGCCCCTTCACATCTACAAAAATGAATAAATAATACTCATATCTCTATATGATCTGCTAGGACAAATCCTGCAAAATAATTTTATTAGGTTTCCTTTGTAATCATTGTTCTACAACTTGTATCTTAAAAATGTTATTAAGGAAGTCATATGAAAATGCAGAGATAAGAAACACTGCTTCAGTGGCAAACTTGATATGCGAGATATTTATAGACATACTTTCCTTTATGTAATTATCACTGAATCGCAAGACTCGTTCACTGAATGGAACTAGTTGTCCAGCAGCCTCTCAATATACCCTGTCAACTCCCTGCAACCTTCTGCATTGCAGAATTTAACTGTACAAATGCCAACTTTCTCCAGCAGAATTTTGGGATTCACCTCACCTATCTCCTTCAGGGCATCTGTAAAGGAAAACAATGCAATGTTGGGCAAACAAGTAACATATGTCACCTGAGCAGCAGTGCTGATCACAAAACTCTAGTGAGCATTTCAGCATATACAAGCACATACTTTTTTACCGCAGTCTGAAGAATCATTATTATACCCTTAGTGACATTCTTCATTTCCATTACTGCTTTTGATCCTCTCTCTCTTTTAATGGAGTCTTATAGTCATTTATGGCATCCTTCCAAAATGGGGGGGGGGGGGGGGGGG